CCCCCCCCCCCCCCCCCCCGGGGGGGGCCGGGGGAAAAAGGCCCAAAAGCCCCCCTCGGGGGGGGGGGGGCCCCTTGCCCAGCCCACGGGGGCAAAAAGGTAGGTTTACCCACAACTTATTTTGGTGGGACCCTGGCTGGGTGATTTTTCAAGGATTTCTCATGATAAGACAGCTGTCCAGATGGGCGGAGACTACAATTCCCAGAATTCCCCAGCCCGGCTTTACAAGAATTACCAGCCCAGGAGCAGAGAATGAAAATGGTCCCAGCATTTTTCTGCCCTTCTCAAGACCTCCAAGAAGCAGCAGAGTCTCCCACAGAGAGAGGAGGAATCAGGGGGAACAGAGAGCAGTTAAAAAATAAAAATAAAACGGTTCACTTGGATCCTGTTGAGTCCAAAAAGCTGCCTATAAAAATCTGCTCGCTAAAAACCTGACCGCTGCAATCCCTTTCTTTGCCCCTGGAGGGATCCCTGCACATCTGGAGCGCAGAGGTTAGGGAAGATGACAAAAGGCACTTTATTCAGAGACCCCTTAATTGGGGAAGCAGCACCCGTAACGGAGCCTCCACATTCAGGGGCAGCCTGCAAAAGGGCTTCCTGGAGGCATCTGGCTGCTCCCTTCTGCCCCCCCCCAGTGGAAGAGCCCCCCAGCCAAGCAAACTTCATAACAGTCGGGGGAAGAGAGAAATACTCGCCTTCTCCCTGAAGTCGCGCAGGCGTCCCAGGTACCGTTTTCGGGCAAGCCACATCCGAACCCAGGACTGAATCTGGCGCAGCAGAGACAGCAGAGGGAAAGCAAATGACTGGCTCCTCAGGGGGAGACAACGACACCCCACCCCACCCCAGCCCCCCCACCCCCAGGGCTCACTTTGATCGCAGCGGCTGTGTTTCTCCGCAGGTAGCACATCCTCTCCAGGTGGCTCCTGCGTTGCCGGTGCCCACGCCAGGCGGCCTGGGGGCAGAGAGCAGAGGTGAGCCTCCGACCTCCGGGCCCCCCCCTCCCCTGGGCCAGCCCTTCCTTTCGTCTTCCGTGGCCCTTCCCAGCCCCCTTCACTGAGGGGGGGATCTTTCCTGAAGCAGCAGCAGCAGATGCTCCCCCTCCCATGTCTTTCCACTCCCCCCCCTCCCCTCCCACTGCAGGCAGGTAGAGGAGGCGGCTGATGCCCAGCCTGTCGGGGGCTTCTGACGGAGTCGCTGCTCCTCCCGGGCAGAAGCCCCCGCTCCCCCCCCCTTTGGGCACCAGGGACCCGGTCTGTGCAAAGGGTTTTCCGTGGAACGGAAGGTTTTGTGAGCTGCCGGCATCCCACAGGTGACCCTTCCCTTCTTTGCCTGGCCTGGTTCCTGGCATGCTGCGGCCTGGTGTCAATTCACGGACCGGCGGTTGGGACCCCGCTCTAGGGGGCCGAGGGGGCTTCCCGTATTGCCAGATGGGTTGGAGGAAGGAAACCTGCTTAAATGCGCCAGGTTGGGGAAGGCAGCCTCTCCGCAAACGTTCACCTGCGGCGCCCACCTGGATTTTGGCAGCCGCCGGCACCTGCCGGGACAGGAATTGCTGCCGAGCTGCCCAGTGGCGGCGGAATAGGAAGCCCCTCATCCGGGCCTGCAGCCGGACCACAAGCCGGACCTGGGATTGCCAGAGGCGCTGCCGGTCGTGGGCGGAAGAGACGCGGGTGATGGCCTCCTGCGGGGGAGACAGACGAGAGGCCCATCGGGACAGGCGAGGAGCAGCCCTTCCCTTTGGGAGGATTCCTGCAGGGGAGCCCGCCGGGGGAGCCCGCCTGATGCCCCCCAAGCTCTCCTGGGGAAGGAAATGTCCAGAGAGGCGGCATGGTGCAAACGAGGGGGCACCAGGACAGACCGGGGGAGCCCAAAGCCCCTCATGGGGCCCAGAGGAGGCTCTTCTGCCCTTCGTGTCTCCCCTTCAACCCCCCCGGCTGCACTGCGTGGGCCTGGTGGGGCCCCCTGGCTGCTCCTGCCACACCCACCTGGATCTCCTCCCGGCTGAGGTGGGCCGTGCTGAGGGTGAGGGGCTGCTCCCAGGAGCCCTCGAAGGACCGCAGGTGGAAGTAGTACTCGGAGCCATCTCTCAGCCTGTGCCGTACCCAGAGCGCCTCTGAGGGGCCCCCTACACACACACACACACACACACAAGGCAAAACATGAGAAGTCGGGAGGAGCAGCTGAGGAAGTGGGCTCCCCCACCGAGTTTGGGCCGCAGTTTTGACCCTCCCTTTTACCTGCCGGCCTTCGTGCTGCCAGGATGGCACTGAACTGCGCCTGGTAAGCCGCGGCACACTCCGCCACCACACCAGAGAGACCCACGTCAGGACTGCGCAGGACTCGCACTGTCTGCGCCGCGTTCCCCTCCTTGATGGCCTGGTTGATGGCGGCGAGGCCCAGGGCCACTGTGGGGAGACACAGAGGGGGCTGCGGCTGGGGAGTTTCCCAGGGTGCGGGGGGGAGACACATCTCCCAAGCCCACCTCCCTCCCGATGGCCGCTCAGCCCCTTTCCCTCTGGAGGGGGCCCCGGAGAGCAGCCCCCAGAAGCCTTACTTTGCTGGGCAGCCTTGCTGTCTCGGTTGGCCCTGCAGACGCCCTCCTGGATCTCCTCCCACCACAAGGAAGCTCCGGGGCCTCCTGCTGCCTGGGGGGGGGAAGAGAAAAGGGCCCCATCCTGAGTGAGTCGCCCAGAAACTGGCAGGGCAGCCATTCTTCCCCCAACGGACAAATGGTGGCTCTGGAGAAGCCACAATTGCCAGCTTCCCAAAAGCCGAATTTGCTGTACGTTGATAAGTGGAGTCTGTGCGTGGGATTCCCACAACAACCCTCCGAGGTAGGTCACACGGAGGCAGCCAGTGTCCCCTGCAAGCCTCACACCAGCAGCCACCGTCCTCCGAGCGCACGGCGGCCCCTGAGCCCCTCAGGCGGTTGGAAGCTCCCTCCTCCTCCTCCTCCTCCGTCTCTAGCTCAGGGGTCTTTGGCCCTCAGGGACCCGATTCGTGGAAGACAATTTCTCCGGACTTGGGGGCAAGGGGGGGGGCAGGGATGGCTTCGTGCGTTGCCTGGGCTCCTGCACAGACACAGAGGAAGCGTCACTCATCGGTTCCTAGCAGGTTGCGGACCACAGGTTGGGGGGGGGGGAAAGGGGGGCTGCGCTAGCAGAAAAGCCTTTCATGGCTCCCAGATTTTATGGAGGATCAGATGCCACAGGATCCCCTTGTGCAAGCAGAGAGAAGGGCCACCCCATATAGACGGACACGGCTGTCCTCCTGCACTGCCTCACTCAGCCTTCCCCAGCTTCAGAGCCTTAAGATGGGGGGGGGGCACTTCCACTCCCAGAATCCCCCCCCCCATCTTAAAGTCCCCAGGGCTGAGAACACAACAGAAGACGGGCTGGCCTAGAAAGGTGGGCCAGGGCCGGGGGGGGGGTTCAAACCTGACCCTCCCAAATGTCGTACAGATTGTAGGATCAGTGCAGTGCAGCCCTCGGCTTCCACAGCCAGTGACATCCACACGGGTGGACTGCGGTTCCCCAAACTCTCCCAACTCTGGGAATTGTAGCACAGACAGCCGAAAGGCGTCCAGACCGGAGCAGGTGCCCATGCGCCACGGAGAAAGGAGGCAGCGCGATGGATCCTAGTTTCCATCATGAAGCCACTTCCGGCTTCGGCGGAGCCCTCGGTGGCAGCTTCTGGAGAGAGGCTCAGCCGGAGGGAGACACCCAGTTTTGGGAGCACCTGGAACCTTTGGTCCTGATGCCTGACGGTGTTTCTGCATTGGCTCAGGGCCCCCCCCCCAGCCCAATCCTCCCCCCTTGTCTTCCTACCTGGGCTTTCTGCCTCAGCATCCGGGCTAGAACGAAATGGTAGCGCTTGGCTCTGGGGAGGGTCACGTCGGAGAGGCCGGCTGCCGGCAGGAGCAGAGCCCGGAGGGTCTTCTCGGGACATTCGCCCAGCAGAGCCTCATTGATCAGCCGGACAGCACGGATCTCTGCAAGGGGAGGAGGGGGAGGAGGCACTGGCTGAACCCGCGGCTGGAGAGAAACACTCCTTAAGGACTTGGGCCCCTTGGTGTCATCTGGGGGAATCGCCCGGCTATTCACCTGTTTGCAACTTGTACATTTTAAGGTTCAGGTGTTAAACTCTGGAAAAGGAATCTTTTAACAATTTGTAGTTCTCGAATGAGTATTTATTTTTAATTCTTAGGTTTTTATCCTGCCTTTGTTATTGGGGGACAAACACACATCCCCAAGGGAGAGGGGGGGATTAAGAAATATGAAAAATAAATAAATCCTCTTTCCTTCTCCTATTCTCTCCCCCCCCCCCCAACAACAATCCTTGGAAGGGGGCTGGGCCGAGAGCCACCCCGCTGGCTCCAGTTTCAGGAGGCTCTTCGGCTGTCAGTTGTCCTCCACAATTGACCCCCAGTCTCCCTTGGGCGGAGAGCCTTACTGTCCCGCTCTTCTTGGGCGAAGGCGTTCACGTCGTTCACCGAGGCCTGGATGTCGTTCCAACTCAGGAAGCCGCGCTGGGTTTCCCGGAAGAGCCGCTTCTGTTCCGAGAGGCCCTCAAAATAACTGCAGAATTGAAACCAAAGAGAAAGTCAGGCTGGAGCTGCAAGTAGCATTTCTTAGAGGAGTGCAGAAATTAATCGCCGTCTCCGGGGAGTTCCTGACTTACAGTCGTTTCGTTTAAAAACCAAAGCTGCAACTTTCTTGGAAAACGTGACTTCCAACCTGCACTTACGCCCGTCACAGCAACGTCAATCCTGAGTCACCAGATTCAGGAGCCTGGCAACCGCCTGGCGTTTATCAGGGGTCGCAACAATTGTGATTTGCAACCTTTTTTCCCCATCAACTTTCAGCAAAAAATGCCCATTGGGGAACCTGAATTCAGTTAATCGTTTGATTCGCTTAACGACCACAGGGATTCACTTAACAACTACCATAAAATTTGTCATTAAATTGTGTCCAACGTGACAATAATTTACAATGGAAATTCTGCTCCCGATTGCGGAGGGGGCCTGTGGGCCGCCTGTCCTCCAAAGCTGACCCCAATTTGGTCTCTCCAGCAGCATCGGGGGCTCTGGAGGAGGAGGGGGGGGCTTACCGCTGGGCGTGGCTCTCTTCCACGTTGGCCAGGCCCAGGGCGGAGCTGAGGAGGCTCCTCCGGAAGCTGCGGCTGTCTCCATCCTCGAGGGCCTGGTTGACCAGGGCCACTGCGGACAGCATCTCCACGGCCACCGAGAGCTCCTCCTGGGCCAGCGTCCCCTGCAACAGAGGGGGCCAGGCAGGTGCTGACAAGGAACACTGCTTGAGCCGGGACATCCCCCCCACCCCCGGGAGCCCCGGGGAAGCCCCTCACCTGGGGGTGCTGCCTCTGCAGGGCAAGCAGGTCCCGCTGGTAGAGCTGGGCAGCGAAGGGGAAGACCTCGGGGAGCTGGGCCTCGGGGTTCGCCAGGGCGCGCACGGTCTCTTCCGCCACTCCTCTTCGCAAGCAGGCGTTGATGTGGCTCACGGCATGTGCGACTGGAGGGGTGCAGGGGGCTTTCTCAGGCGTTTGGGGAAGGGGAGTTGGGGCAGGAACAGTAAGGAAAGGCAGAAAGCCAATAGGGGAGGAGAAGCAAGGCTGGAAAACACCCCCACCCCCACCACCCTCAGGTCTCGTCCTGGAGCAGAAGGCCACTCACCAGCACGCTCCTGGTCACCCCTCTGATTGGCCACGTAGAGCCCAGCTTGAATTTCTCCTTGCTCAAGCAAGTCAACGTATCCCAATTCCTGAAGAAAGAAAGAAAGAAAGAAAGAAAGAAAGAAGGAAGGAAGGAAGGAAGGAAGGAAGGAAGGAAGGAAGGAAGGAAAGAAAGAAAGAAAGAAAG